ATATTATATATAATATATATTATATATATAAATTAACAAAGAAAAAAGAAAAATAACGTTATTGTTTTACTAATAAAATTACGATCTTTTGTTTGCTCGCTATATACCTTTTTTCTACAATAATTATTATTTATTGTTAATTTTGCGAGGGGAAAAATTGTTTATATTATATTATCAACAACATCAACGCACATTAAATCGTTAAATACCTCTTTTGGTTTCATTTGTATAGTAGCGTTGGATTCATCCTGATTGACGGTGCTAGCTGTAGGTTTCGCAATGTTCTTTGTAACTTGCACGACCAAATCGCTTGTTTCGGAACGCGTCTTATTGTTTAGTATCGGTCTCAACGTATTGGTTACTTTCGAGATCGAACTGTCGACTCTGGTAACGATTATAGACGACTCCTTGCTCGCCGTTCTGTTCACCGTACTGTACTCGGTCGCTTGTGGTTTTTGTGTTTTGATCATCTCAACGTTCGTCTCGGTCGAATGTCGCGTCTTTTGATCAGTCATTTTCGTGACGGATGTTAAAAATTCGGTAGGTTCCATTCTTGTCGATGGCAAAACGATCTCATGACTAGATTCCAGGAATACCGGATGCTCAGGCCGCTTAACAGGATTTGGAGGAACGTCCAACACGTACAATTTTGTCGAATCGATATTGTAATGAATTGTTGACGATCTGCTCGGCTGAATGTGATCCACATGCGATGGTCTTAGCCTCGTCGGTATTACCATGTTCGTGGGCAATGTCGATGTCGTTTGAATAGGAATTCTAGAATAAATAATCAATTGCGAGATTTGTAGAAAATTCAAAGCTTTTTTGTTAAATGTAACTTTTATACATACCTGGATACGTGTTTGGTATCAAAAGGTCGAACGGTGTAAATGCTAACGTGTTGAGTCATTCGTGTTTCTGCGGACTTAAGAATGTCAGGAACGTCGACCACAACCGGCAAATCAACGGTGCCGTGAATAATTGGAATCTTGGATTCGATATCGTGAACTACCGGAATGTGAGATGTGGCGACAGCAGTGGCTATCTGTATAGAACCGGAAACCGCAACAGCTGGCCTCACGGTGGCGATTTCGAGCGGTCTTGTCGTCGTTAACACCGGTGGTGGCGGTACCATGTCCTAAATTATAAATATTATTTTTAAAAACTCTTTTATATTTTATATTTAAAAAGTGGATATATTTTATATATTTTGTATATAACCCAGATAGCCAACTGAATGCAAGTTGTTGGCAACTTGCCACAAATATTACTCATATGTTTTCAGCAATGTAACAAAAGGATGTATCCTCTTTTCAGTATGTTCTTGTTAACAACAGTTTTTAAAATATAATAACAGCAAGTTCTCAACAACTCATCGCGGCAATAAACTTATATTATTTTTCTCAACTTATGAATAAAAATTATTGCTCATATATTGCTCACATATTGCTGACTCACATTGTCCTAAACATTGGCTACAACAATTGATTGATAATAAAACTCAGCATATTGATACTGAATTGACAAAAACATTTTCGTTACGTTAAATAAAAACAACAGCAATTGGCGAGCAACTTAATCTATACAATGATTTGCTTTATATTGAGTTTTTACATTTGGCTATCTGGGAAATTGTAAAAACTTTTGAAAATTTTCGTTAATCTTACCTGCGACAGCAGTTCCACGAGGAAAGGTCTTGTGATTGGCGGTCTCGGACTCGGTGGGACCATGTTCGTGCTAGGCAGAGCGGGCGTTGTCGATTCTTTCAGAGGTATGTATTTCGGCGGCTTCAGACCCGACACGTTGTTCGTCACCAAAGCGAATCTGTCCTCTATCGGCACGTGAGTAGTAGTGATGTCTATCGGTGGTGGCGACAATCCGAACACGTCGCTCGACGGCAGCGGCGGAGGTTTGAGACCCTCTTGTTCGTTTTGATTTGATTGGTTCGGTTCAACCGTCACACTCAAAGGCGGCGGCATTATGTTTCTGGAAGGAACATTTACTTCCTTAACATCAACCGGTCTTGTTTTTCCATCTGGTTTATTTTGAGAATCCGAAGTGGCAAAGTTCATCTGATGCGCCGTGTCGAGAATCTCATCGGTCTGTTTGTTCTGCGACAAATTGTTTTTCGTGACCAGCATGCTGGGCGGTCTCTCAGTTTGCGTCTTACTGTCCACTTCCTCCCCCGTAGCGTCGACCGACATGGAAAATTTCATGTTCGGACGATTGTGCATTTCCAGACTCGCGCTGTCGCTGGAAATGATCACCGGATCGGGCACTTGAGGTTTTGGTTTCGTCAAGATGTGAGGATATTCCGGGTGGATTCTAGTAAATGTTCCGTGTTCCGGCCGAGCGACGCTCGGACGCTTGTTATTATTATTATTAATTTTAATCGGACGAGATACGGTGCCATTTTTGTTTTCGATCGGTTTAACTTGGAAATCATGTTGCGCCGATATTTTGTGCTGAGGCTTTACGGTATTCGAGGCCGCAACGCCCGCATTCCACTTCTGAAGATCATGATTCGTTTTTACTTCGTGACTTAATGTTTGATTGACGAAGATTTCCGCGATATTCGGTTTGACATTTTCCGGAAGTTTCATACCGTACTCGGGTAGTCTGACTTCGAATTTAATCGGCGGTTTCGTCAATATTTCCGGTTTAACGTGTAGAACGGGTCTTGAATCGGGTTTAACAGGTCTGGAGAAAGGTCTTCCCATCAAAGGTCTGTCTGATTCAGCACCGAATTGAGGTACAATCGCTGGCGGTTTCAAGTCGATAGTGTCATCCCGTTCAAGTGAATTTGTCGTCGTAACTTGTCCGTCTTGAGTCTTTTTCATTGGCGGTTTTGTCTCTTCGTTGTAAGGAGCTGGTATACCGTGAACTATCTCGTAATCGGGTTTACCTTGTTTTCGTTTGTAACCGTAAGGAGTAATCGAGTCCACGTAACCGTTGTAAACACCAAACGGCTTGCCTTGCACCACAGGTAATTCGTAAGGTCTTGTGTTGTAAGGATCAGTGCTGTAAGCTCCTTGTAACAACGGCTTTCCAGCAACGCTCAAAACTGAAGAATCATGTTTGAAATTGACACTGTGTTCCTGATCGACTTCCAACGGTTTGCTCACGACTGTATTGATGGAAACAACCGATCCGTGTTGCGATTTCAGAGTTTGATTGATATATCCGGAATTCATCGTGTTCTTCATATTTTGGCTATTGAACTTTTGACTGTGATTTTCCGCATAATGATTCTGATATTCCGACGCGTTAATGTCGGAATCTAATAACGTCTGTTCCGTTCGTGTATTTGTCGGCCGTTTGTCAGAATTATTTCCCAACGATGTACGTTGCGTAGTAGAAGATACTTGTAAATGCTTGGTTTCTTCCGACATTGGATTCGGATGTAACGGATTATGATATTCTACAGCTCCGGTAGGTATGTGATCGCTCTGTTCAGTTTGCAAATTTGTCGTTGCGATATTGCTCGCGCCTGTTTTGTCGGAATAAATATGCGGAAGTCTGCTCTGATGATCGATCTGAATGGAGAACTGCTTGGGCGGTGTTCGAGTAGGTTCATGATAAGACTGAGAAGTCATGGGAGAACGATGCGGCAACGCGAAAGTGTTTTGGGTTTTCGTCGGCGGCCTCTGCGATATAGAATAAGGAGGTTTTCTTCCCGGAGGATATCCATTGGGTCGCTCAACAAAAACGTATCTGTCTAGAGGTCGATTGGTCGTCGGTCTCAAAACGGGTCGTGGCCTCTGTCGATTGTTCAGCGTGTATCTCATCGGTTTCTTGGCGTTCAGCCCTATCTCGTTCCCGGAATCCGGCTTGCCAAGAAATATATAGCGATGCGGAACTTCGGTTGGTGTGGTAACTTCCGCACGTCTTGGCGGAACTTGTTGGAGAACGGGATGAGAATGTCCAGACGAATGAGAAATAGACTGCGGTCGAATGTTTACCGTTTCCGGCTTGTGATGCACAAGAATTTCCGTGTGAACTTGACTAGAGCTCCCAGATCCGTCGGGTCGTTTGATCAAATGAATTTCCGAAGGTCTCTTCTCGGGTCGTAATACAGGTGTTTCCGGCACATCTTGCGGTCTTCCGCGTACGGGTGACAACAGAACAGCGTGCGGACGACCGGAAATACCTGGTTTTAAGGAAGTGGGTTTTAAGCTGGTCGGAGGCGACGGAGGAACCATGTAGTCGGTTGGATTTTTCTCGTTTAAATATTGAGGCAAATCTTCAACCTACACACACACACACACAACACAATATAAATATAATTTTTATCTCTTAAGAAACATTTTAAGGTAAATGTCCCAGTGATTAAACGTGTCCCAGTACTTAAACACTCACTCGAATTTTCATTTATATTAAACTATTTTACTGATATTTACAATAATCAAAAGTTTTATTAATATTTTTAATTGTATTATTATTAAAACATTGTAATAAAAGTTTTCTAAACAGTAGATGTGATAAAGAAAAAAATAGTTTTTGAGAGTAGTAGCAAATTTATTGCGTTTTCAACTCTTACGTTAGCGGTTTGCGTAAGACAAAGTATATTCTTCTTAAGGTTATAATTAAATACACAAAATAAACTTGTTGTTCAGCAAAGATTTTTCAAACTCAGTATAGACTATAGATTGATAAAAAACTTTGTTCTATCTTTAATTTTTAGTTATAATAATTAAATTATCGTGTTTATGTACTGGTACGAGAAACCGCCGGTGGCGGAGTTGTTAAACACTTGATTCATCATAGCGTAGTTAGTCTTGCATACACGTATTGAGTGATATTTGTGCGACAAAACATAATTTGCAACAAATCAGTAAGTAGTTTTGTGTTTTCATGGTTTCATTTTATCTAAACGTACTAAAATAATAATATTTTAACTAAAATATTTAAATATTATATGATAAAGTAGATGACTTGTTTTCATAACCTTATCAAAAGGTTATAAAACTCTAAGTAAAATCTAGTTTTGTAAAATCTCTAGTTTTGTAAAATCTCTAGTTTTGTAAAATCTCTAGTTTTGTAAAATCTTCAAATTTTTTAGTGATTTGTAATAAATCTATAACTTTTCATGAAATAAAATGCATGAATAATTTTTTTCCTGTTCTATATTGTCATGTTAATAATAGCGTTTAAGTACTGGGACAAGATAGTTTAAGTATTGGGACAAGTTAGAAAACCTGTTTAAGCACTGGGCCATAGCAGGTATGTTAGAATTCGATTAATTTACTTTATTTTTCTTTATAAACCAGCTCTTTAAAGCTTTATTTAGTGAAAATATAGTCTGGTTTTTTAAATAAATACTAATACTCACCAACAAAAGTTAAATTATACGAGTATGATTTGTATAAGTTAAACAGCTCTCTTAAACGTTTAAGTATTGGGACATTTACCTTATATAGAAAAATAAATAATTAAACGAACGGTTAAACTTTTACACATACCTTTTGAATACCAACGAAACCCGGTCCGGTTTCAGGTTCCGGATAAGGTGAGGGATCGTCAAAGTACTGTCCGCTAATGTGAGGTTCATTGGTGTCTCCGAAAATGAGAGCCTGCGTACCGCCTTGAGGAATTACAACATTTGCTACTTGACTCGGTTGAATATTGACTAGCAAAGGTTGTCCCGTAGATCTGTCGATAACATGCGGAACTTGATGAATTATTGGCTCGCTGGGAAGCGGTTTTGTTTCCGAGCTCTGAATGATAATAGAACTGTCCGGTAACAATGGATCTTTTTGTGCCCACGGCGATTGTTTTTGCTCCTCCAGCGATAATATAGTCGGACGTGGTTTCTCAATCGGTTTACTCGGTTGAATCTTGACAGAGATTATACTGTTATAAATGTACTGCGCCAAAAAATTATATATATTACACGTATGAATGATGCACAAAAAATACAAATTTACCTCGTCGAATCTCGCAGGCGGCAACGGCGCCGTTAAAGGATCTTTGGCGCTCCAAGGTCTTCTGTATTTTTCCGTATTCCATTCCGGAATCTTGTGATTTATATTGGGATTCGCATATTGTTCCACATTGAGTCTGTCCGGTGGCTTTAGCAAAGGATCGTTTTCCAGGATATCCTGTTTTGATACGATTCTTTTAGGCGGCGGCGCCGACTGAACGGGAAGTAATTTTTGAGATTGTTTGGGAGACGGTGAATGATTTGCATCGAGAGGAATCGAAGCTGGTACTTTCAAGTGTTCTTCGTACACTTGATGAGCCGGTAAGATTTGCACCTGCGGTCCTTGCACGGTCGACTGAGGTTGCGTGTCATCAGGATCGTCTTCCAAAACTTCCAACACAGGATGCACCGGAATGTTCGGCACTGGCATAGGGGGAGGTTTCATGCCAATGTGTTCTTCCTCCTTCAAAAATGTCTGCGGCGGTCTCGGCGCCATTTTGCCGGGCTTTCCTATGATAACGTCGCTGTTCGCGGTGATTATTTCACCCGGCGATATCGGTATGCCATCGGCGAGACTGCTCGTCACCTTGTGACGTGTCTCGGGGATATAATTGTGATTGACATTTGCCAGATGAACAGCTGAAAAAAGTAACAACGTTTAGTCAAATAAAATTACGCAGAACATTGTGTAATTATTATCGCGCAAAGAAAATTTATATTCCACTTATGTTGACATGAAAATAATTATTATCAAGAGCTTTATACCAATGTGTTGACTTTCGGCAGTTTCTATGTCGCCGTCAACAAATTCCGCAACAGGTATGTAGATCGGCGATCTCTGCTTCGTGGTTTCCTGAGTTTCCGTCAATGGTGCGGTGTCATTTCTACGACTGGCCGTGGTTTTTCCTTGCAACAATCCAGCCATCGCCGTAATCACCGGTCCCAGAGCAGACAGGCTATTTATACCCAACGAACTCAAACTGAGGAGATTGCTGACTTGGTGATCATCTCCGGACTGAGAATCGGGTCGTTTGTCTTGCGATTCATCGTTCGATACTGCAGTGCTGTTGTTATCCTGTATAAAAGATATTTTCCGGTTAACCGCATTAATCTAAAAGCGAACGTTAAAAACAAAACTTACCTTTTTAATTGATTCCGTTGGGTTTACATCGGAACTGTCGGTGCTGTCGGACAAAGATGTTTCCGTCGATGTGGTGGTAGTTGTCGCGCTCGCGGAACTCTTTTCGTATTTTGTTGTTTCCGCGACGGAAGTCGATTCCGGAAGACTGGTAGTTGACGTTGGATCGATCTGATCTTCCTCGTCGAAGAAAATGATCGTCGAACCTGTTACGACGTTTTTCACCGGATCGGAATGATGCGCGGTCGTTAACAAGGCGCTCATGTAGCCCGCGTCTAATAAACTCGGGGCTATCGATTCCGTCACGACATTTTCGACGATATGCGATCGGGAAGTCACAGTTGTTGACGTTTCTCCATCCGGACCGGCCTGGGAAAAAAAAAACAATTTTAAGCGTATTTGAGTATGACATCGTTATACATTTGGTTAAAATTTGAAATTGTGTAAATGTACCTGCAGCAACGTTGTGAAGTAAGTGAAGGTAGTGAGATACGTTTTGGTGGCGAAGATCTGTATTGGCTCCGGTGTGGAATTAATTGGAACAGTTTTCATAGTCGTTTTTCTTACCGGTACTTTCTCCAACACCACGTCGGTCGATGTTGCTATGTTCGTACGAACCACCGTGCTGCCTTTCTCCAAAAATGTATTGAAATACGTGTAGGTGATATAATACGTCTTAGTAATGTCCGTCACACTACCGTCGGTGTTATCCAACGCAGTCAAAGTGGTTGTCACACTGGTCGGTCGTGGCGGAGGAGCCGATTCTGTAACTATCAGCTGGAAAAATGATTAAAAAAACAAAATTACACAATACCGAGACGGATTGATACAAAAGTTTGTAGAAGAGAACGAGTCAAAAAACCTGAGTGATTGTGTCGCTGATCGTTTCTATTTTTGTTCGACCTTCTTCCATGAATGTCTTTTCCAACACTCTGGTGCTGAGGTATGTATTGGTTTCCGGTCGCGGTGCTTCTGACGGCTCGAGAATCATATCTAGGTAATGCTGTGGCGCGGTCACAGTATTTGTTATAACTTTTGTGCTACTTTCCAAGGCGTCGTTTACATCCGGATGATCCGTGTTCAACGTCAGATACGTATAAGTTGTTTTAAACACTTCGGTGCGTAAAGTCGGCGATGCTTCCAGAGTCACAGCTGCAGTTTCAGAACCGGATTTTCTGTGTCGCTCCTCCGTCGCCGTATTCGCTACAACCTAGAGAAAAATCAAATCACGATAAAAGAAATTTATTACTGATATATTTTAAATAATTATCTTGTCAAACAATTACGAAGTTTTTAAATTAGAAATTATTACTGTATTAAAAAATTCTAATGTCAAACGAGATATTTCATCAGAGTTAATATTTTATTCGGAAATCATTTATGTACACAAGCGCGTGCGCGCGAGTTTGCGTAAGCACCTGCTGTTCCGTGGTAATGGTAGTCGTTCCATCCTTAGTAATCGTGTTGAGATATGTGAAAGTTGTTGTGCAAGTCTTCGTGACAAACTCGTTAGGTTTGTCCTGCGGGAGGAGCATGACCACCGCGTCCGACAACGTAAGGGTAGGTTGGGGATTTGAATTTTCCCATCTTAGAGCCGGAGTCGGCCCGGCGACGATAACTTCCACACCGTTTGACATTACGCGGGTCGCCAGATTGAATCTGCGTCCCTCTTCTTCATCTTTCGTTTCGTACCCTCCTGTCGTTATGTGATTCCATAAATAACAATTACTTCGCGTTTTTTTCTAAAATATTACATATGTTTGTCAGAAAATAATGAAAAAAAAAAAAAAAAAA